AGGAATGAACTGAAGACAGCACAGGCAGCCCCTGCAGGCATTTTACCCCCACCGCCCGGAGAGTGGGCCCAGCAGAGGGCTGCCTGCAGGAAAGCGGCGTGTCGAGGCAGCTCTGTTCCACCAGCTGCCAGCACAGCCCGGTGGGCTGCTCAGCGCATTTCCAGTCACATGGTTCTCCCGTAGATCATAGATGGTAGATCGCTACACACGCGGCCAGGGCTGACGCCGTGAATGTGCTCACGGTCAATCTGGAGAATATTTTGAATGAGGACTCTTTCTGTGATTTCCTTCATTCAAACATATGCTTGCCCTTACACACATGAGCAAGCCATGCTCTGCACATCCCAACGAATGAGCTTTTGAAAAATTCAAACTTGCCTACTAATAGTTATCGTTTATTGAGCAGTGTTGTACGCACACTCTATGCGCTAATTTAATCTTGATGGTCCAGCTGAGAGGCGCCGTCTCTATTTCACAGACGAGAAGGGTTAGGACCTTGGCTGAGGTCAGCAGGGAGCCAGGGCCCCAGCCAGGCTGTCTGGTTCCACGTCTGTGCCCCTAACACGGCACGAAGACTCCTCGGGCCTGAGGACGACGAGTCACCCTGGGCTCCCAGGGACAGCAAAAGACACCTGGCATCACAGAATGAACATAGGGATGCTCGCAGAGTTGAAAATAAAGCAGTGGTTCAGGGTCGTCTACACCAGGGGTCCCTAACCCCCGGCCTGCAAACCGGTACCGGTCCTCGGCCTGTTAGGAACCAGGCCACACAGCAGGAGGTGAGCGGCTGGCTCGCTAGCGAACCCCATCGCTTGCATTACCGCCCTCCGTCCGCGGGAAAACTGTCATCCACGAAACCGGTATCTGGTGCCAAAAAGGGTGGGGACCGCCGGTCTACACATTTGTGTGACTCTCGCTCACCCCACATGCCCACGGAATCGGGGAAAGGTTTCGCCAGCTCAAATCCGGGAAGGACTCCTTTGTGTATTTAAGAAATAGACAAGTGGGGAAGCCCCCCAAATTCACCGGGTCCTGGGGGAAACTCTCACAGCGTGTGGGTTCAGTGGGCACCTGTGTTCCTTCCAAATATTGGAGGATTTTACATGAATCTTAACTTCTACCTCAAGTTTTCTTATTTTTATGCTTTTTTATACTTTCTTGCCTTAAAAAATGAATTTGTCTTTGCTTTTTTAATCCATCTTTTTCAAATAGTTTAGAAGTTATGTTTGATTTCTGTTTTCTACCCTATACTTAGTTAACAGTCTTAAGGAAAGATCTCTGCTGTCTTCCTGACAAATACAAGAATGATGGAGTCCTAACTTTTGTCCCCACTCCTGATTGACAGACTGCCTGCCGCTGGTCCTGTCTGCTCTCAGCCACGCGGGTTGGGGCATGGTTATTATTTTATATGACTGTTTAGATTTACCTACTTACCAATTTCTCAGTCCACCAGTCTTTCTGGTAACTCAGACCCTACTTTTTTTGATGGCTTTTGTTCTTACTAAAGAATATTCTTAAAAAAAATTTCAGGTGACGATATACTACTCACTTTTTGTTCCCCTCAGGCTGTTTTATCTCATTCTCATCCCTGAAAGGTCACTTTGCTGGATGTAGAGCTCTAGGCCGCAGCTGGAGACAGCCCACTGCCTCTGGCTCTGATTACATACACTCTGCCGAGTCAGCTGGGAGTCTGTCAATCTTTGTAGGTGTTCTAGCTTTCTTTTCTGGGCGTTTTTAAGATCTTCTTTTTGTCTCTGGTGGTTTGTGATTCCTCTGTGATGGGTCTAAGTGTGAATTTCTTGTATCTGTTCATATACCCTGCTTCGTAAACATCTGCTTCCTAGAGCTACAGAATCTTGTTTTTCATCCGTTCGGGAAAATTCTCAGCCATCATTTCCTCCAATGGAGCTTCTGCTTATTCTTTCCCTGGAGTCCAAGACCTGTTTCATAGACTTTCACTCTCCCCTTACATCTTTTAACTCCTATTTTATATTTTTCATCTTGTCTTTCTACTGCAATCAGGATGATTTTTTCATAGTAATGTCCAGTTCACTCACTCTCTCATTAGCTGTATCTAATCTGATGTAATATTCATTCACTAAGCTTTTACTTTTAAAAAACATTATAATTACAATTTTTATTCACAGAAGTTCTACTGGGTTTTTTTTTTTTTTTTTTTCCAATCTGGTGACTTTGGGTAGTCTTTTGTCTAGATCTGTTGTTGTATGTTTGTTGTTCTTTGACTCTGAGCTCATATATGATTTGTCTCCATCTGTGTGATTCTCCAGGCCTGAATCAGAGACACTCCCCTGAGAGCACATTTCCACTTGCCTCTGCTGACCCCACGGGCACTGCTAACCTGCTCACTTCAGCAAATCCTCAGGATCCTGGTTTAGACTCAGCCCCTCTCCTGCAGCTGCTAAGGTGAGGGCCCCTGGAAAGCAGTGCTGACACCCCACCTTAGTGCCCTCTTCTGTGAACGGGCGGCGGCGAGGCTGAGGGGTTTCCTTTACTTACTATGAACACAGCAGTGCGTTAAAAAGCCGGCTTTATCCAGAGTTTGGCTGTTTTGCAGCGTTTTAACTTCAGAATACTGCCGGAGGTGGAGTCTATGATTTTCATCTAGTTGGCATTTGCCCTCTAGGTATGTACTCATCTCCCACCGTGATACTTGTAAATAACTCACCTGTGTGTCCTAGATGATAGGATTTCTAATTCTCCTTCTCACACACCCACAAAGGTGGCCTTTTATTTAGGAAAAAACCACCTGGGAACTGAAACTATCGCAGTTTATACTATTTATTTATTGCAGTTTAGACTATTTATGGCTGGAAGCACAGGCGGGGCTGCCGCGCCTTGCGGTGGGGCGCACACACCTGGGCGTGGACACTCCTACGGCCACCTAGCTGCCGTCTTCCTGCTCCTGCACTGGGAGGGGTCACAGGGACAGGCACACGGACTCACCACTTCCCATAGGAAGTAACGTGTGTATGATTTTCTCTTCACTGTAAAAGAAACGTGTTCTTATGCTAAGAAGTGTAAACAGCACACAGTATGACATAAGCATGAGTCCCCGCCTTCCTTCACCCCCGGGGTAGTTACGTTTTCTGTTCATCCTTCAGCCTTCTCTAAGCAGGGGTGGCCATACACAAGTGCAGACAGGTCACACACGTGTCTTAAAAGTAAATAAATGCAAAGCACCCTCTGTGCTTTGTTTTATAGCTTCCGTTTTCACTTTAAAATGTATCTTGAACTTGGTTCTCTATCAGGACAGAGAGATTCTCCCTGTTGTTCTTAGTGGCCGTGTGGGATTCCATCCAGTGGACACACCACAGTTAGCTTCCATTAATGGGCATTTAGGCTGCTCATTTTTATATTAGTGTTGTGTTACTATAAAAGTGGCAACGTGAGAATATCTGCACACATATGTACTGTTGCAGATATCTTTCTAGGTTACATTCTTCTTTGGTGGAATATTTAGGTCAAAAAATAGAACCGTTTAAGTTGTCCATCGCTACCGGCAAACTGCCGTCCAAAGATGTGCCCCGTGACCCCAACCCGCAGCGTGAGCGGCCCCCCCACGCCCCCCGTCAGCAGCTTCTAAGTCTCTGTCCAGCTGATGGGTGAAGACTGATTCTGTTCGTACAAATGCACACACATCACAAGGGCGTATTGGTAACACCTGTACACGCCTAAACACATACATTTAATTAAGAGACGGGTGAGAATCCTTGCCTTTTGCAGAGAGGCACCGCAACATTTACACGTAATGACAGGCACCCCCGAGGGTAGCTTCACTGTACTCTGGTGCTGGGGTGACTGGGGGTCTGGTGACCCAAGACTGGCCACGTGTCGGCGGCAGCTGTTAGGGCTTGGTCATGGTGAGCTGACTTCATCATTGCTCGTTTTCAAATACCCAGCGTACCGTGTGAGACCACGTGGAACTGCCACCTCTGTGGGTCCAGAGGCTCAGGGATTGGGACGTCACGTGCTTCAGCCCAGTGAAGAGCTCGGGCCAAACCCCGCCCCCGCTACATCTACTGGCCAGGAGCAGCCCCCGGTTCCTGCCAGGGAGCGAGAACCAGCCCACTGCGTCTCGTCTCACCACCACAGGCGTTCACCCCCAGGGGCCCTGCACTGGTTTGTCTGGGATCGTCCAGCAGAAAGGTCGCTGTCCTGACTGTCCGTGGCCCCCTGATCCCCGCCGTGCACATGCGGGTGGTACTCACGGCTCCAGAGCGAGTATGCAAGGCGGCAGTTCAGCCGGCGGTACAGCTGCTTGTTCACGGGCCAGAGGACTAGTGTGCAGAGCTGGATGGAGTTGATGATCAGCCCACTCACCACGAAGACGAAGCCGATGAGGAGGTGCACGACGAACTGGGTCTTCAGGAAGGCAAGCAGGCCCATGGCCACAGCTCAGTAGCGAGTGCAGGGCCCTTCACTGAGAACGGCCGTCCTGCAAAGACGGGGCCGGCGGTCAGGTGGGGCGCCAGGGACCCAAGGGGTGAGGGGGGCTGCGGGCGGAGGAGGGGTCCACGGTGCTCACGCCAGAGCCCAGATCTGCAGCTACCCACCACGGGGTCCTCATGCCCTTCCCTCCCGAGAGCGACGTACGTACGGGGCGGACGGGGGAGCTGACACATCGTGCACACAGGCATCACCCGCAACATACACACACATGCACACACACACACACACACACACACATTACATACACACCACACAACGTATACACACACGCATAAAAGAAAGGAAGAAAGAAAAGACTAGAAGAAATGCACACAAATATTAATAGTGAGTATCTCTAGGTAAAGGCATGATGGGTAATTTTTCTTTTTTTAGCATCTTACTTAAAAGATCAAAACTGCACACTCAATCTCTATCAAAACATTTCAACTACTGTCTTTTAACTCCCAAGCTGCTGTACCCTGTTTTGGCTGAAAGGCTTTTGTTTTGGTCGCTAACGCAGAAGCCGTGACCCCTCGGGACTCTGCCAGCTTCTCACGCTTCCCTTCAACGCTGGTTTCTTGGTTTCAAAGATGAAGCCAGAAGCTCGCATTTCATGGCTCTACTCGTTCCGCGAGCTGCCCTGGAATCTCGTGTGGACAGAAGCAAGCAGACGGCTGTGACGGAGCCCTGGCACTTTCAGAGCTGGCCACGTCACAGCCTGGTGGCTGCCTGCCTCGACCGCGGCTGGGTCCTCCAGAGACGTGCCCCACGCTCTCTGGGATGCGGGTGGAGTGGGCTCCAGAGGCCTCCAGCGTGGCCACGCTGGGCACACCGGGGCACAAGGGCCTGGCTGCTGTGCCAGACATGAGGCCACGTGACTCCAGAGGATGCCCTCCGTCCGCCCTTGGCCCCCGAGTGGCTGCGTGAGGGGCGGGGGTGGCGGATAAGCCAGCAGCCACGTGGGGAGGATGCCCGGGAGGACAGGGAAGGAGCCGAGGCCTGGCGCCAGGTGTGGGAGTCCCCAGGGGAGCCGCCCCCCCAGGCCCGGGCGGGCCTTCTGAAGCCCGCAGCCCCCGAGAGGCCCCAGCCCCCCGCCTTCGTGTCCAAAGCTCTGACCCCGAGAGGCCCCGAGAGGATGCACGTGCGGCGCTGCACACGCTTCCTGCCACCGCCTCCTAAACTCGCACGAACCCGGGGGACGCCGTCACTGCCCCTATGTGACTGGCGAGCAAAGGGAGCGCAGAGGCTTTGTGACTTGGTCAGGGCCACGCAGCGCAAAGCAGGAGGGCCGGACTCCAATCCCAGCAGGGAGACCCGCGTCTGTGCCCCCGTGGGCGGGGACCCCTCTGTAACGCACAGACTCACACATCAGCCAGGCCAGGCCTGAGGCCAGCTGCCTTCTGGGATCAGAGATAACGGCTTTGACCAGACCTGACGCTGCCGCCCGGCATCTGGACCCGCACCTGCCACCCGGCAGGCTCCCTGCACCCCCGGCCCCAGGAGACCAGGCCGTTCCCCACCCCGCCATCCTGGGTCAGGCACAATAACCGTGTGGGCCACAATAACCAGGGTCCCCAAAAGCCAGCTCAAAGACCGGCCCATCAGCTGTGATGCTGTTAAAAGCAGGTTCCCCAGGTCTGTGCCAGACCTGCTGGAGGATCAGCTTCACAGAGGTATCGCTCACAGGGCACCTGTCAGACTGCTGCCCGATCAAGACAAAGCAGCTCCATGAGCCCCCTAGTCCACTCCCCCCCGGCCCCTGGCAGCCCCTCTGGGCTTTCCGACACCGGATCAACCTTCCTTTGCTAGAGGTTCACATAAAGAGGACCACACGGGATCTGCCCATGGGCCCTGCCTGGCTGCAGTCCAGCCTCAGATGGCAAGGCGGTCTCCAGTCTGTCCGCTCACCTGTTCACCTGCCGACGGCAGCAGGTGTGCAGCCTCTGGCCCCGCACTTTCCCCAGCGAGCCTCTGTGCGGACACAGGCCTTCAGTCGGGAATCTGTTTAACAAGTGCCAGTCCCTGGTCCATCTCCTGAATCTCTGGTCTAGGAAGTCCATCCCCAGAGGGCCCAGAGAGCTGCACCCCCAACTGGAACGGCCCCTCAGCCCCGCTTGGAGGTGAGCCTGGCCGGGGCTCCTGGCTGCAGTCGGCTGTCCTCCCTGGTTGTCAGTCTGTCCCTAATGCCCAGATGTGGGGCTGGTGTCCTCGCTCCCTGTGGGCCAGACCCCGTCCTAAGGCACGTCAGCAGCTGCAGTCCAGGCCCCTCCCACCTGCCCCCACCACGAGAGCACCCAGTGCCCACCATCTGCTTGGACATCGCTGCCTCTCGGCCTACCACCTCTGACCCAGCTGGGCCTGACAGTCTTGATAACACATCAGTCACACGTGCTAACTTGGAGGACCTTCAATGACGGTGCGGGGTGGGGGGGATGACCAGCCCCCCAACCCCAGCAGAAGACACCCTGCTCCCCAATCAGCCCACACCCTCCCCAGCTCTCCCCCAAGCCCTGCAGACTGGCAAGCAGGAAAGCATCAAGTCGGCAGCCCCCGAGAGCACTGGCTTGTGTGCAGCCCATGAAAACATTAAGTGAGAGGTAACATTCTTTGATAAAAGACTGGCAAACCAAAACCAATAATATATATATATATATATATATATATATATATATATAAAATCAGACAATTCTAAGTTGATTCCTACATTTTTAAACCCAAGTTTAAATATGCAAGGGGCATAAATTCTGTCATACTGTGAACTTTTAAACATACAGATCTTCCTTAACTTACAGTGGGATTACATCCCAATAAACCCATCGTAAGTTGAAAATATCTTGTTAAGTTGAAATATAGTTAATACACCTAACTTCCCAAACATCAAAGCTGAGCCTTGCCCCCCTTAAACGTGCTCGGTGTACACTCACATTATCCTACGGTTGGGCAAAATCATCTGACACAAAGCCTATTTTATAGTAAACTGAATATCTCCTGTAACTGATGGCATACTGTACTGAAAGTGAAAAACAGAATGGCTCTCTGGGTCCAGCATGGTCGTCAGTGTACCGGTTGTTCACCTTTGTGATGGCGGGGCTGGTGGGGCTGGTGGGGCTGCAGCCACCACTGCCCAGCATCAGAGGGAGCATCCGACCGCATGTTGCCAGCCTGGGAGAAGGTTAAAACTCACAATTTGAGGGCTTCCCTGGTGGCGCAGTGGTTGAGAGTCCGCCTGCCTATGTGGGGGACGCGGGTTCGTGCCCCGGTCCGGGAGGATCCCTCATGCCGCGGAGCGGCTGGGCCCGTGAGCCGTGGCCGCTGAGCCTGCGCGTCCGGAGCCTGTGCTCCGCAACGGGAGAGGCCACAACAGTGAGAGGCCCGCGTACCGCAAAAAAAAAAACCAAAAAATTCACAATTCGAAGTATGGATTTTACTGAATGCGTATCGTAAAGTCAAAAAACCATAACTGGAATCATCATAAGGGACTTTATACTTTTAAATGTAGAAAATGGGCTCTAAATGCCACAGTGATCTGATAGCCACATCACCATCCATTTTCAAAATACACGAAAGCAAGCTTTTCTTTAAAAGTCAGGAAATTCATTCCCTTTTCTCTTTGAATTTGTATTTCCATTGCACGCCCCCTACAGGATCTCACTGTAATACAATTTATTATGATTGAGAGTCTTTTACCAATCATCTTAACCTAACATTGTGTAACAAAAATATGTATGAATATTTAAATTTCATTTTTACATTTCTTGTGCATAGGCTAAATTTAAGTTTAAAAGCTTCTTCTGGAATATTTGACGAAAATCCACTCCTAAGCAGTCCAGCCTATGTCACCTCAGAATCTGGGCCTTTGGTTGACCACAACGCCATGATCACATCTGAGAAATTTAACAAGGACGTGAGCATATTACCGAATATCCCATCTGTGGTCCCCAAAATGGCCTGTGGCACTTCTTTTCGTCCAGGCCCCGGTCGAGGGCCCGTGCGGCTTTCGATCGCACGCCCCTGTTCTCCTCTGACCTGTAACACGCTCACGCTCCCACTCCCACTGGAAGAGCCCGGGACAGCTGTCCCGTAGATACCCCACAGTCTGACTCTGCTTCCCTGAGACTAATTCACGCTCAGGATGACGCTGGAGGCTCCTGGCTGCACCCACCAGGGGCACTGCCCCTTGTCCCCTTCCTGCCACAGCCTGGTGAAGGCAGCGCCCCTAGGTGTCTGAAGGCAAAAGTTCAGCCTGCTGGGCTCACCCCCCAATCTGATGGGAGACGTCTGAGTTGATATCCACCCCCAACCGCCTCTGACCCCAGTTTCCATCAAGGCCCCTCCCGCCTAACTCTCCATCCTGAGCGCCAAGTGGGCAGAGCTGGCCCGTGACCACCGCCCTGTAACGGGTGCTGTAGGGACCACCCCTGCCTGTGTGATGCACTTAACCTCACGGCACAAATGAGATGCTTCAAAACCGCAGCAACACGCAGCTCTGCCACTGACGTTGCTGTAAAAAAGCTTTTAGAAGACACGTGATACGTCCTAGAATAAAAGAACGCATCTAAGGTAGAAATGATGAGGCATAATTGGTATCCATCCATCCCCCGACACCCCCAAGGTAAGTGCCGTTGTTCCATAAAGTTTTATTTTAAAGTAAAAGACATTGGCCCCTTTTCATTAATACTCAGATGTTGTGGCTGAACTGGCCAGGAAACCTGAGCCCAAGTCACGTCATTAGGTAAGAGTTTAGGTCGTTCCAGAAGCCTGGCACCTGCACAGCCCGGTCCTAAGGGTACTGTGGCCCCGTACAAGCTGCCGGGACCCCACCTTCTCGGGGCAGGGGACGAGGTGCACTCACCCTCCCCAAAGGGGAGACAGAGGGTGGTGCTGCCACTTGGGGACAAGGGGCACAGAACAGAGGCCGGCCGGGGTAGGGGGAGGGGCCGGGCACTCGGCAGAGCCATGCTGCCCACAGTTCCAGGGCAGGTAAGGCTCCCGGAGCTGCAACATGACACGCGTCCCCTGAGAGACAGTGACCGG